GGGTGTCTCGTGCGGAGTTGGGTGCTTGGGTTTCCTCGAATCGGATATAATGCGCTGCTCTGTCGAGGAAATCCTATAGAGAGGCTGGCCGGTGTATGCCTACAGCCTCATAGAACTTGGAGTTGTAGCATAGACCCTGTTCCATTAGGTAGCGCTTCATCTCGTCCGACATTGTTACCTGCACCGTTTCCCGGGTGAATCTTTCGATGTACTTTCGGAGAGGTTCGTCGGGGGCTTGGATTATCGCTCCGAGGACGGCCTCCGTCTTCGGATGGCGTCGGGACACTGTGAAGTGTTTTGAGAACAGGTCCTTCAGGACTCTCCATGACGTTACCGATTCGGGCTCCAGACTTTTATACCACGTCATGGCGCCTTTCCTCAGGGTCGTCGGGTATAACCTGCACTTGATAGCTCCTCGAATGTTTCTGTAATCGAGCATGGCCTCGATGTCTTCCAAGTGATCATCCGGGTCGGACGTGCCGTCGTACGTCGATAATATCGGGGGCTTCTCCATCCCGTGGGGAATGGGGGCGGCCATGATTTCCCGGGACAGCGGGGTCCGGTAGTCGTCTTTGTCACTGAGGGCGGGGGATTGGAGAGGAGATGAGCCGTTTAGGATAGGCACCTGGTTTCGGGTCCTCGGTCTCCTGACCGGGAGTTCGACACGCAGGTTTCTGGCTGGGATCGCCGAAGTGTTCATCTGTCTCCCGCGAACTTGTCTCGCCGGGGATTTTGTGCACTCTCGCACCACTTCCATTCGGGGCCTCTCCAGCCGGGGTCGGTGATTTCTGGGTTGAGGCGAGGGACTCCTCGAGCCTCCATTCTGGTCTCCCCGCGGAGGGGACCTCGGGGGACCTTCCCGCTCTAGCGCTCCAATTCGTGCGTTCTGCTGAAACAGCAGCTGGTTCGTCTGGTTGATGACCGCAAAGAGGGCGGCCACCGTTGGGTCCGCTCCCGCTGGGATAGGAACGGGTTGGAACGCCGCAGGGCTCGGGGGCCGGTGGTCGGCCTGGCGCAGCAGTTCTGCGGATGACGGAGAAGCAATCTGGCCGTCTCTCTCGTCGGTCTCCGCCGGACGTGACGTCTCCATCTGCTTGCTTCCGTTGGCGGCGGTGTTGAGCACGAATTCGTGCATGGTATCGTCGTGGTGTGGGCTAGCCATGATCGTGGAGTGCTGGTGAAGCTTTGGTTTTCTGCTCGGAGTAACGGGGAAGTTTTTGTCCCCACAGACGGCGCCACTAATCTGACCTGATCAGAAAGGGATCACGGGCTGGCCACACGCTGTTGGGCTACTACCTATTCACCGGTGACGAGAAGGAAAAAGGGGGGGTGTACCTGCAAAACACTCCGATGCCAAAGTAAGGAGTTGGGCAGAATGAGAGCAAAGTATAGAAAATGGGTAAGAAGTGAGTTACCTGACCCTCTTGTGGAAGAGGGTATTTATAGAGAGACCCCAGCGCTGGGCCAACGGTCATTTGAGGTGGGCTGGATGACCAGGCCCAACCCTAATGATTGCTAAGGCTTACATGGCGTAGTGAAGACTAGAACGTGGTCTTAGCCCTAGTCCAACTGTCCCGTGATCACCGGAAAGTGGATTTGACCTGCTCTTTCGGAGGTGGGCGGTTGGGAGATGACGTATCCCCGCGGAGGGGAGCACGTGGAGAGCGTGCACATGGCACGTTGTTCTCCCCACAGAGGGGAGCCCGGGAGATTCCCCGGGGGTCTTGCTCGATGGCATGGGAATACCGCCCGCGGAGGGCGGAGCTTGGTCGCTCGGGCGATTCACTTGCCCGACATGGTTGGGACGGTTCTCCCTGCGGGGAGGTCATTCTAACAAGACGGGGATCTTGTGCCCGACACGGTAGCTCGGACCGGACAGGGCCTGGTGGAGTATTATTGGGCTGGGCCAGCATAACTCAGCCCGGGGCCTAGTCCAGAATAATTTTATTATCTAAAAAAGTTTTTATTTTAGAAAATCTTTTAAGAAAAGTTTTTAATTTGTTTTATAAAAGTAGAACTTTCACTTATTTTTAAAAACAAAATTTTCAATTAAAAATAAATGTACTACTAAAACAACAAAAGGGAAAACAAAAATTGGGTTGGGTTATGGTTACTGCTGCATGCGGCGCCGCTGCCATTATTGCCTGTTGAAGCTTTTTCTTCTTCTTTGCATGGCCACGATCCCTTCTTCTTTTCCTGCAAAAAAACATCAAAAGAAAGCATCTGTTAGAAACAAGATTTACTCATCTTTCACGGGTTTGAAGTGACTTTTCTACGATGGAGTTCGTTGATGATGAACGATGATGGTTTTTTTCAAAAATCTCTCCTCTTCTGATAAGTCATGAGAACGACCGCCGTTTTTCTCTTTTTTCTCCTTCCCCCTTTTATCAAATGCAACTCATGTTTATATAGGTAACAAATTAGGGTTAACTCTAACCTAATGCCCACTTTAAAGCCCAACTTAAATAATTAGTCAAAACTAAATACAATTTAAGCAAATTAAAACAAACTTAAAACCCTATTTATTTACTAAATATTAAAAATATTATAAAAAGAATAAAATCTTTTCTAATATTTTTAATTTTATGATTTTTAGATGTTTTTATGAATAATATGGAAAAAAGTGAAAAAATAGTTTAAATTAAATACGACAGTAATAATTAAATAATAAAAAAAAAACTATTTTTGTTAATTTTTTTTATGAAAATAGAAAAGTTAGACTAAAAATAAAACAAAACAAAAAGTGAAGAAGGTGAGATTCGAACTCTAGACCTTTCACACTCACAACTCCTTACACACGGTCTCTTGCGAATTGTGCTATTTTATTCATTCAAAATAAAGTGGCACTATAAACCCTGTAAACTAAAAGAGCGCGCCACATGATATTTTCTTGCAACAATCAAACAACTGCACAACCCGTTAGTGGTTAGTTTAATCGCAATGCAAAATGAAATGGGATGCAAGATGAAACGACTAATCTTAGGGCAAATTTTGGGGTATTACACTTATGAATCAAGCTCCTTGGATTAATCAAATCATATGAATGGAATAATATGATGTATTTGAGGTCCTTGAGGTATTGGATCATGCCTTGCCCCAAAAGTTAACTAGGGACTGAATCAGGTCAAAACCCTAATTTAGGTGCATCTGAGGACTTGAACCTTGTTGATCTTGAAATGATGCAATCTTGTACTTTATTATTTATGAATGAAAGCTCTTGATCTTCATGGATGAATAAGGGACTTGATATGTTGAATATAATGCTCATCCTTTAATAATTCATCTTCTTGAGCCCTTGGGGGACATCCTAACTTGTAAAGCAAGCAAGCACACACGCATCTTGTAATTGATATGGATCAGTGTAACATAAAGACACACACATATGTGATGGTGAATGTTATGCAAATGATGTAAATGAAGTGGCATCTCAAGGGTAAAAAATTAGGGTATGACACACATCTCCACCCAAAACCTTACATCATTAGGTATATAAGACGTCTCTCTTATAAATACAACATTCCATTCATTCATAGGCGATATAGAACTTAACCACTCACATTTTGACCCAACAAAATCCCCCACAAGTGTGAGTTCCCATATCCCTATAGAAGGATCCAACACATGATCCAACTTTCGATCTCTCACCAAGTTGAACCACAACCATTGTCAATTGACAAGTATAGAATAATATTATGCAATTTTTTTTACAAAATATAGACTACCCTTAACAATCCCAAGGCAACATACAACCACACTATCAAAGAAAATATTTAATTACCTCTCACAACACTCTAACACAAGACTATACAAGAAAAAATTAAAAGTTAAATACAAGCTTAGTGTGATTTTACCGGTACATTTTATAATGAAGAACTTGAATCCATTATATAACCATGATATTCCTCTTCGTTTACAAAACTAAGCCACGTGAGAATTCTTCAATATGTATATTTCCAACCATTAAAAAAAATCTCCACCTTAATTGAAAATAATACATCAGCTTCCATTGTCTTCATCTAAAATTATAGTTAAAAGGAACTATCATACTCTACTATAAAGAGTATAGCCACTTGAAGTTACACCACTTCAAGAGATTTTACATTGTCTTCACCAACAATCATTATTCAAAATCTATCATACTCCACGAAGAGAAGAGTATACTTCACTTGAAGCTAAATCACTCCTAGAATTTTCACATGTCAAAAAATACATTAAATACTTATGGTGCAACTTTCATGTTAGCGGGAATCTCTTCAACCATCGACATAATATCTCAATACATTTTGCATAAATACCCATGTGTTAATCGGCTATAAATAGCCCATTCTTTCCATCATAGAAAAAATGTCATGATGATAGACTTATCAACTTTTAGAAAAGATCATCATCTCCCATAGCGAGGGAGACATTGCTAGCATTTGACTTAAAGCCCTTCTCTAATACTACCCGTCACGACACTTATACTTTACATGCCAAAATTTTCCACATTTTCAACATCCCACACACATTTAATTGGTTTTCTTCATATAATGCCTTTCTCTAGCAACCAACATCGAGTTTAATGGAATGTTATCCTCACCCTTCAATATTCTTTTTTCAGAAATAATTTCACTAGTAACTTCTTCAAAACTCAAAGTTTCCTTCCTATATATCAAAACAAGTTTAATATACTCATAGGAAGATGAAAGAGACCATATAAGTCTCAAATATTTATCTTCATCATCAATCTTGTCTTCAATAGTTTCTAATTCAGAAACAATATCATTGTGAACACTTAAATTATCCATACTTTCTTATTTTCATCCATACACACACTATGAAAACGCTCATTCTACAACAACTGATTTGACATACCATTTCCTTGATATAGCCCTTCAAGTTTCTCCCAAATCTCTTTTGCTAATGACGTACCAAGAACATTTGCAAGAATATTCTTAGCCAAAGACGCGTGGAGTGTACTTAAAGCTCTCAAATCTAGTTCTTCCCACTTCTCGTTGTCCATGTTGAAAATTTTTTCATTCCAGGGGTTTCATAATTGGACATTAAACCCATTTCATATGATGGGAGTTGTTGGTGTATTAGGCGCTGCCCTACTATGCGCTATTCATGGCGCTACCGTAGAAAATACGTTATTTGAAGATGGTGATGGCGCAAATACATTCTGTGCTTTTAACCCAACCCAAGCAGAAGAAACTTATTCAATGGTTACTGCTAACCGCTTTTGGTCCCAAATCTTTGGGGTTGCTTTTTCCAATAAACGTTGGTTACATTTCTTTATGTTATTTGTACCAGCAACTGGTTTATGGATGAGTGCTCTTGGAGTAGTCGGTCTGGCCCTGAACCTACGTGCCTATGACTTTGTTTCTCAAGAAATCCGCGCAGCGGAAGATCCTGAATTTGAGACTTTCTACACCAAAAATATTCTCTTAAACGAAGGTATTTGTGCGTGGATGGCGGCTCAAGATCAACCTCATGAAAACCTTATATTCCCTGAGGAGGTTCTACCACGTGGAAACGCTCTTTAATGGAACTTTACCTTTAACTGGTCGTGACCAAGAAACGACTGGTTTTGCTTGGTGGGCCGGGAATGCCCGACTTATCAATTTATCTGGTAAACTACTGGGGGCCCATGTAGCCCATGCCAGATTAATAGTATTCTCGGCCGGAGCAATGAACCTATTTGAAGTTGCTCATTTCGTACCCGAGAAGCCCATGTATGAACAAGGCTTAATTTTACTTCCCCATCTAGCTACTCTAGGTTGGGGGGTAGGTCCTGGAGGGGAAGTTATCGACACCTTTCCATACTTTGTGTCTGGAGTACTTCACTTAATTTCCTCTACAGTATTGGGCTTTGGTGGTATTTATCATGCACTTCTGGGACCTGAGACTCTTGAAGAATCTTTTCTATTCTTTGGTTACGTATGGAAAGATAGAAATAAAATGACTACTATTTTAGGTATTCACTTAATTTTGTTAGGTATAGGGGCTTTTCTTCTAATATTGAAGGCTTTTTATTTTGGGGGTATATGTGATACCTGGGCTCCAGGAGGGGGAGATGTAAGAAAAATTACCAACTTAACCCTTAGTCCAAGTATCATAACATGGTATCAGAACTAATTTGGTGTCAACCTTAAAAATCTATTGTATTCTATTCCTTTATTTTTATTTTTTTTCCTTCAATCTAATCGGTCATGTTTTTTCCTTCAAATTTCCAATCTGTTTTATTTTCCTCATTTCTCATTCATTGATTCTACATTTTTTATTCATTTTAATCAATTTCAATTTTTATTTCGATTCTGTTTCCACTGAAATCTACACCATCAAATTTTTTGTTCATTTTCAAATTCTTGTCATAGTGATTATGTTTAAAATTCTTTTTTTATGTGATTTCATCGTTCAAGATTCACTCTAATGGTTTTTAAGAATTCTAGGGTTCCATTGTTCAAGAATCATTGCAATTGATGATTTTGGATTTTGGAATCCTAGTCTCAATTTCAATTTGTCTTTTTCGTCTCATTTTCAACAATTTAGTCATATGAATTTCACGCCACAAATTCTAATATCACATCATAACAGGCAATTAACGATGTGACTGAAACACGTCGGAGGAGCACTTGTGACAACTGGTTTCCACGTGAAAATCACGCCACTAATTTGTGGTTTTATATTCACGTTGCTAACCATAAAATAAAATGTACCACATTGTCACGTGAAAAACACACCACTATATTGTGGCATGATATTCACGTCACTAAAAAATAGACTGGACCACCTTGTAACGTCTAAAAATAGGGTGCAGATGGATCAGTGTGGACTACATACTCACGTGAATTTCACGCCACAACTTAGTGACGTGTTTTTCATGTAACAAACTTATTATTTTTAAAAAAAATTATATACTCTATTTTTATTAATATATTTTGTTTTAATAATATATTCTATTTTGAAAAATTATATATTATATTTTAAAGTATATATATTTTGTTTTAAAGAATTATATATATATATATATATATATATATATATATATATATATATATATATATATATGTGTGTGTGTGTGTGTGTGTGTGTGTGTGTGTGTGTGTGTGTGTCACAGTAATTTAGTATTTTATTATGTTGCCTATGTGGCTCTAGTATTTGTGTATAAATAGACTAGTGGTAGCTGTCATTTATCCATCGTCTTTCTTATAGCTTTTGTAGCCGTCATTGAAGGACAATAAATATTCTCTCATTTCTTTTGTTTTTATCACCTTGTGCACAAACAATTGGTATTTAGAGCTCTAGTTCGGATCCACGGGAAACACGAGTAAAACGGTGAGGCGTTGTGTGATTGATTTCGTTTCTTGAATTCGTGTTAAATCTTGAACAGAATCGTAACAGAATCACATTTTCTGATTCTGCGGGATTGGGAAACACTGTGTTTGGTGAGACCTGAGTGACTTGCATAAAGTTGAAGATGAACGAAAACGGTAGTTTGAGCACCAAGCTTCCGGTGTTCGATAGCAAGAATTGGAGTCGTTGGATGATTCAAATGCGTGTGTTGTTTGGCGCTCAAGATATTCTTGATCTCTTCAATGATGGTTACGTTTCAGTTTCACTTCCAAAAAATGCAACTGATGCGCAGAGAAATGCTCAACACAATCTTAGGAACAAAGGTCAGAAGGTATTGTTTTACATCCATTAGTGTGTGGAAGTGAACGTGTTTGAGAAAATTCATGATTCAACAATGGGGAAGGCTACATGGGACACACTTGTTATATGTTATGGTGGTGACGCATCAGTGAAGAAGGTGAAGCTTAAGTCTCTACAAAAGAAGTATGAGAATCTCAACATGAAGAACAACGAGAAGGTATCTAAGTACATCTCTAGAGTGATTCTGATCACTAATGAGATGAAAGCTTATGGAGAAACTCTTTCTGAACAAGTAATAATTGAGAAGATATTGAGATCCCTTACTCCTCAGTTTGATTATATTGTGGTAGCAATAGAACATTCTAAGGATCTAGACACAATGAGAATTGAAGAGCTGCAAAGTATTCTAGAAGCACATAATTTGCGTCTGACTTAAAGAACTTCTGAAAGAGAAGTAGAGCAACAGGCTTTGAAAGTAGCTTCTAGTGAGAAGCATCAGAAGCAGTGTTGGTCAGAAGCTATGAGAATATCTGATGGTGTTCAGAAATCAGAAACCTCAAATTCTAGTAGGCAGAAGAATGCTTAGAAGGGAAAAGAGAGGTATGACAAGAAAAAGATCGAGTGCTACTGTTGTAAAAAGTTTGGACACTTCGTTGCTGATTTTATGGTCAAACAAGGAAAGGAAGTGAGAAGAAGCAAATGTAGCCAAAAGAGATTCTGATAATGAATTTGTGCTACTGATGGCTTTTGAATCTGCATATACGAATTTGACAGACTGGTGGTATATGGACACTGCCTGCTCAAATCATCTTACTGGAAATAAGAAATGGCTGATTGACTTTGACTTTGGAAAGAGGACAAAGATCAGACATACTGATGATAAATACCTCAACGTTGAAGGTATGGGAAATTTCAGAGTTGTTTTGAACAATGGGAAAACAACATTGATTCAGAATGTGTGGTATGTACCTGGCATGAAAAGCAATCTGATGCGTGTAGGCAACTAATTAAGAAAGGTTTTTCAGTTACCATAAAGGACAATCTTTTGAAGTTGTATGACTAAAATTAGAAGCTGATTATGGAGTCAGAACAAGGAAGAAATAAAACACTCAAGGTGAATGTCAGAACTGGAGACTTTGAATGTCTTAGTGCAACAAATTTTGTGAAGGAAAGTGAGTTGTGGCGCAAAAGATTTGGTCATCTGAATTTTAGAAGCTTAGGGCATCTGAATTTGAAGATGCTGGTACATGGAATTCCTACAATTAAGAAGTCTGAGAAGTCATGCAAAGTGTGTATACAAGGAAACCAAACAAGATTTCCATTTGCGTCAGAAGCAACTTCAAGAGAAAAGCATGCCTTAGGAGTAGTGCATTCTGATGTGTGTGGTCCATTTCCAGTAGCATTAGTTAAAGGGAACAAATACTTTGTGTCATTTGTTGATGAATTCACATGGGTGACAAGGGTATCCCTTATAAATTCCAAATAGGAGGTGTTTACTGAATTCAAGAAATTCAGAATGAAGGCTGAGAATCAAAGTGGTCAGACTCTGAATATTCTCAAAATGATGGAAAGGGTGAGTATAACTCCAATGAGTTCAGAAAATTCTGTGAGGAGAATGGAATTGAGCATGAGGTTACTGCTCCATATACTCCTCAATACAATGGTATTACTGAGAGAAAAAATTGTAATTGGCTTAACATAACGAGAAGCATGATGAAGGAGAAGAAGCTTCCTCATACCTTATGGGGAGAGGTTATTGCCACCGCAGCATATTTGCTCAACAGATGTCCAACAAAGAAGCTGAAGGAGATAGTTCCTATTAAGAAGTGGACTGGAGACAAGAAAAATGTTAGCCATTTGAAGGTGTTTGGTTTTGTATGTTACAAACATGTTCCAGAAGCCAGGAGACAGAAGCTGGTTGATAGAAGTAAAGTGATGATACTGGTGGGGTACCATAGTACATGTGGGTACAAGCTTCATTATCCAGGAAGTAATAAAGTTGAATTTAGCAGAGACGTCATTATAAAGGAATCAGAAGCTTGGGATTAGAATAAATCTTAATCCAACTTTGGTGTGAGAACTTCTAAAGAAAAGTCAGAATTAGAAGTTTCTGCAGATGAGTCATAAGCTGGAGAAGATTCTGAAGCTGGAGTAGACTCTGAAGGCAAGTCTGACTCTGATGGTAATTTTGACTTAGAAGGAGACTCATAAGGTGAAGATGATTCTGATCCAGATTCTGGTGGTGGTTCAGATTCTGGTGGTGATTTAGATTATGGAAATATTCCAGACTTTGAAGGTGGTCAAGGTTCTAGAGAAGGTCAACCTTCTGGAGCAAGAGCTTCTGAAGGAGAAGTTTCTAAAGATAGAACTTATGGGGTTCCAGCATCTGAAGGAGATTCTGAACGAGGTCATAGGCCATAAAGAGTCAGAAACATCACGAGAAGATTGTCAAAGTATGACATGCTGCGAGATAGTGAAGTAGACTCTGAGGGAGAGGTTATTTAGTGTGTCATGGTAGTAGACTCTGAACTAGTAAGTACGGAAGATGCCCTCAAGAATATAGTTTAGCTGAAGGCCATGAAAAAAGAACTTGAAGCTATTGAAAGAAACAAGACTTGGAAGTTGACTAAGCTTCCAAAGGACAAGAAAGCCATCAATGTCAGATGGGTTTTCAAGGTGAAGCTAAAGCCAGATGGATCAATTGGCAAACACAAAGTGAGGTTAGTAGCAAAAGGATTTCTACAGAAACCTGGGCTGGATTATTCTGAGGTGTTTGAACCTGTAGCGAGACATGAAACAATCAGACTAGTGATTGAAATAGCTACTAATAGGAATTGGCCTTTGATTCATTTAGATGTGAAACTTGCATTTTTGAACGGTCAATTACAAG